CGAGCATCAGACCGAGCCTAAAAATGTAAAAAAATCCACACGTACGATAAAAAAAGTAACACTTATTAGATAAACTTACTTTCCGCAGAGTAGCGAATGCCTTGAATTTCTGTTCATCCTTAGCGATCTCACGGAATTCAATGAGTGGCTGTTCCTTCTTAATTGGCATAACTGTTCCCTTGAGTTGAGTAGCCAATTTGCATTCTTCCAGGTTAGATTCGCCCTTACGGATCTTTTTTTCATTGATAGGGAACAAAATTAATTTGCTCTTGTACTCCTTCAAGCGCTGAATATTTCGTTGACGCGATTCCAACGACTTATTCTTGCGTCTCTTATCTACAGAAACACCAATGGTTCTGGCGAATCCATATGTTAATCCGGCACCCTAATCCATAGAAAATGAAATTATGATCGACCTGAGCTTTAGAAATGTTTGCTACCTTCAATTCTTCGAGAGTAAATCCGCGTCCTGCACGTAATTTGGTGTGATAACGGATAGTTGGGCAGCGCACAACAGGGCGCAATGCTTGTGCCGGACGCGGGAATACAGCTTTAGCTTTCTTGACGCGATTTTGGCGTCTGCGATATTTGCGTGCAGGCTGATTGAACCATGTCTTCACGTTCCGCTGCCACCATTTGTGAAAATGAGCATTTGGAATCATATTATTTCCCTTACCCATCTTTGCTGTTTAAGTCTACATGATAAATATAAAAATAAAGAACAAAGTCAATTCAATCAAAACAGCAATTTTCTTGGTTATCAGCCAACAGTCCACGTGGTCAAGAGTAGCAAATATTTTTAACATAGCAATAACAAAATTAACTTATGTCTCTCACAGGCACAGCAAAATTAAGTCATTCTTAACATCATATTAAATTACGCTATCATGTCGTGACTAAACAATACACAAAAATTGGAAAATAACTTTTTACGAACCTTTCCTACCCAGCAACGAAATAAAAAGGAGAATAGGGATGAAACGATACAGGTAAATACAAGTACATACTCGGTACTATTCGTTCGATACCAAGTAATTTTGGTATCGATACTTTTGAACCAAGTATTGAGTAGGTATCGAAAACAAATATTTGTAACGAAACCAAATACTAAAGGGCTGACTATAATATGAATAAGCAAGCGTATGCAAATGTGCGAATAAACATAAATCCTATTCTGAAACTATAATGTACTTAACAAGGCCGTATTAAGGGGAGGAACTTGTAAGTGTTCTGACCGACCCCAACGGCCCCCTTCCGAAATATAGAAATGTAGGATTTGCCTAAAAACTCGAAAAAAGGCAAAATGAGCTTTGAAAAAAGGAGAAAAGGCATATATTCTTTAATTTTGTTATGCACTTCCTTAATGTACAATGTGCATGTTCCATTAAAGATATTAAAAAATACATACAGTGGTCAAAAACTTATAGCCGAACAACTTTTTGTCAAGTTTCAACGTATCATTTTCGTTATTTCATTTTGGTTATTTTTTATAAAAATATTGTTCATTCTTTAACAAAACCCGTGTAAATCCAAGTTTCCAAATTTGTGCAATATTAAAAAAAATCAACAAACTTTTCGTACAAATTTCGAGCTTTTCTAAAAGTTCTAAAAAATCAATTGTAGTTTTTAGCCATTTAAAACTTGTACTTCATTCTATTATAATTCAATGGGCAACAAAACTGAATACGCAGAATCTAATTAACAAACTCGAAATTTTTCCGAAAATTTGTTGATTTTTTTTTTTAATTGCATAAATTTTTAAGGCAGTGGCACTCGATTGGTACAGTTGTACAGATTAGTTCAAAATAAAAAAATGAGTCAAAAGATTGGTAAAATACAGCGATTTTCTATTGAAAAATTTGAACAAATTAATTTTCGTGATTGGGATAAAAAAAATTTTGGGCATTCAAACAATTGGAATACGATTTGCACCAAATTTTGGCAAATACCCAATCGTGTGACACTGCCTTTAAACTTGTATTTACACGGGTGTTGTCAAATAATGTACTATAAAAAACTAACCAAAATTAAATATAAACAAAACTAATATGAAAATTGTCAAAATTTGATGTGGTTATAAATTTTTCGACTGCTGTATTCTGTATCACCAAAAAAAGTTTCGGTTTTTCCGGCGGGATTACCAAACCTAGTATATTTTAAGACTTTTACCAAAATATTTCGGAAAGATATTAAGATTTACGCGAGCTGGGCCGGTTTGGAAATACCTCTAAAAATTTAGTTTTTTTTATGAATAAAAATAGTTTCTTAAAGGATTTTTTGGAAAAAATTCCCTCGGATGACAAAACAGTTTAAGCTCAAAAAATCTACATAAGAAAATTAAAGAATTGTATCAACGGAATCATAAAAATGAGATTTATGATGCTATTTTTTAACTTTTTTGAAAGATTTGTGTAAGAAAAACTTGAATAACTGCTCCAAAACTTTACCGATATAGACTTAAGAGATATCAGTGGAAAGGTATTTTCGCACCCTTTATATTTATTTGCGGAAAAACTCATTCACGTCCCAATTTTTTCTTTAGTCATGGAACATGGAATGACACTCGTTTATCTTACCTTCTTCTCCCATACTTTGAATGAGCTTATTCGCAAGGAAATTAAAAGGGTGATAAAATATCTTACCAATGGTACTTCATAAGCAGGGAACGGATTTTATGGATT